TGCCAAGAACCTACAACCAAGATTACTTTATCCAGCAAAGCTATCATTCAGAAGTGAAGGTCAGATAAAGAGCTTCACAGATAAGGAAAAGCTAAAGGAGTTCATCACCACCAAACCAGGATTATATGAAATGCTGAAAGGTATCCTATAAGAAGAGGAAGAGGAAGAAAAAGGTAAAGATACAAATTATGAACAACAAATACGCATCTATCAACAAGTGAATCTAAGAATCAAGTGAATAAATAATCTGATGAACAGAATGTACTGGTGATTATAATAGAATCAGGGACATAGAAAGGGAATGGACTGACTATTCTTGTGGGGGAAAGGGGTGTGGGAGATGCGGGAAGATACTGGACAAAAATCGTGCACCTATGGATGAGGACAGTGGGTGGGGAGTGAGGGCAGGGGTGGGGTGGGAAACTGGGAGGAGGGGAGTTATGGGGGGGAAAAAGAGGAACAAATGTAATGATCTGAACAATAAAGATTTAATTAAAAAAAATAAAGATACATCACATACATGTTCCTGCACCTTGATAGCTGGAGGAAGAGTATGTTTTGTGTGACTTGTCATGAGAAGGAGAGGCCAAATGAAAGCTGCACATGGATTCTTCCAGACTCCACCTCTCTTCCCCCTATCATCCACTGTATATCCTACTCATCACTGTGATAAATCTTAGTCCTGAGTACCATTATATGGTAAGTCCCGTGAGACCTTCTAGCAATTCTCCTAACATAGAGGAGGTCTTGAGGATCCCCAATACAGATACAAGGAATATTTATTAAGTGAAATAATTGACCTAACAAGAGTTAGAAGTATTAGTGTCCTTGTTTGGATTTGTATACATTTTTTTAACCAAAACTTGTCTAACCCAACTTGATCTCCCACTATATTTCTCTAATTCTCAAACTTGGCTCTGAATTATTTTTAACTTACCTCCAAATGACAGAGATGTGCTTGCTTTAAGGACAGTCAAAAGAAAGAGCTATATTTTATCTAAGGGCAATTTGAAATCAGGAGATCCGGAAAGCATTTGAATAATGGCAAAAGTCCTCAAAACGTTTATAGTGTCCCAAGGTGACTTTTTTTTTTTTGTCATTGAACAGATGAGGACTTAGTTGATTGTGCCGCTCCTGGTGTACTAACGTCAGTCACATTGGGTATAGTGCTGTACCCAAATGCAGACAGCCTCTCGTCACAATAAAAATGCAATAGTATTTATAGAATAGTAGCCATGGACTAGATCCCTTTTTATAATTTATATTGGAAACTTTTACTTGGTACTTACTTTCAAATAATTTCTTTTCTTTTCCTTTTCTTTCTTTCTTTTTTTTTTTTTTTTAACAATTCAGAGAAATTCCTGGCTTTTTAATGAACTTTAGATCCTGCCTGAAGGAACTTACTAGCAACTAGGAAATCCTTAGATTTCTTATGGACCTCATCTTCATTTTTGTAAATTCTTTGGAGAGCTCTGTTCTTTCTTACAGAGTAACTGGCATTAGTGTGACCGCATTGAGCGGTCTCCCTGCGATAGGTTTTATATTTCCTTCCCGTCATCTTTGTCTCCCGCTGGACTGAGGTAGGATTGTAAAAGTGATGGGTTTACTGCTCCCTGATTTCTGTTTGGCCTTGGAAGCCCTTCAGTGTAGGCTTTCCTGGGACCCAGTATATAAAGAGCACTTCTTCTGATGCATGGCTGAGCTTGTTCTTGTCTAATTGGAGGAGATTTACAGTTCATAAATGGACTTTAATGTAGAAGCTCCCTGCAGCTAGTATGCGGCAACACAGTGATTTCTCAACATAGGCTATTTTACATAGTTTCTGCCCCCATTTTATTGTCTTCCCATCCTTTATTTTTATCTTTTCTCCTCTTTTTCACTTACCACATCATCAAACTCCTCCCCTTGATTGGACATAAACATTTTTTTTAATACTTATTATACTTGCAGAATGAAGTTTTGTGTTTCTAGTTCATAATTTTCAAAGCAAATGAAACATTTTTACTGCATCCTTCTGAAATAGTCTTACGGAAATATTTTTATTCATGTAGGCCTAAATTCTTTTTGTTATGTTGGAGCAGGGGGATTGTTTTGTGTATTTGGCTTGATTTTGTCCTTCTGGGCCCAATAGCGTTAATGGAAAGCATATTTTCTACTGCTGATGTAAGTATACTTGGAAATAGTTATTTGCAAACAAAAGTTCAGTTCTAATCAAAGTGCAGATTATTCAAGTAAGCCCTTGTCCTTAGAGGCCTGCTTTTTTTTGTTATTACTTTTACTTAAATCTGTCAGTAGTCTTTTAATTACTTGTGAGAAAAACAATAAAACCTAGTAGTCATGATTCAACCACTTATTTGTAAAGAAGCCTGCTTGGTGAAGTACCTGAGTATTGCTGGTGTTCAGTGTGTCATTAGGTTTAGAAGAAAAGTCCCAGAGGCTGCTAGTAGTAACCATCATAACCTGATAGTCTGATTCTGTGACCCTCTGAAAATATGTGTCCTTATTGCATCCTCTAATAGCCTTTGCTGTTTTCTCTTCCAGTTTCCCAGAGAGATGCTCATTCAGAGCCTACACCTCTGTTCTGTATTTTGACCCTCGGATGAGAATATTTATTCAGGCCAAAAAAGTTAAAACAAAACACCTATGTCATTGCCTCTACAAACCCAGGTAATTCAACTTCCTTTAATTATCTTCATACAGTTTTTATTATAAAATCAGTATGCCATCCTCCCCAAAATTGTTAAGGTGATTTGGTAGTAAGATTTCTATAATCCAATAGCAGGATTTTACAGTTTGACAGTAAGATTTTTGCTATTGTAAGTAAAATTTAAACTGCATTTTGGAAGGTTTGTAAAGAGTAATCATGTGTAACAAATGGCCATAATAACAAAACACTGCAGTGAACTCTCTAAGTGAGATAAGCACCTCGCGTAAGAATTTGGTTTGTACTTTAATGAATCTTAGGTGCTTTGCTTGTGATAGTTTCCACTAAAAAATCACAGTTCATTTGTAATTTTTCTTTACTCAATATATTTGAATGATTGAATCATGTACTTCTATGTGTATATATTTTATGTATAGAATGGATATATTTATAAATACACATTGAATTCATTTATATTTAATATTTTAGCATAAACCTTTTTTTATTACCACAGTAAGCCTAGTTAACATCTATCACCAAGCACAGTTACAAAATTTTTTTCTTGTGATGAGAACTTTTAAGATCTACTATCATGGCAACTTTCAAATATGCAATTTAACTATATTTACCAGACTGTACATTACATCCCCAGACTTATTTTATTACTGGAAGATTGTACCAGCATAAACTTTTTTTAAGCTGACATTTGCATATTATCAAACTTACCTTGACCAGCTATGCATGCAATCAGAAAAGTTACGCTTTGTGTGTTGGTTTTCTGGGTGAGCATTCATTCATTCATCACACATTTATCAAAGTCCCCTGTGAGCTTGAGGTTGTGTTAGTTGCAAAGCATAAAAAAATAAGATTAGTTCCTGTTTGAGGAGCTTAATATCTACTGGGAGAAACATTTAATGCTTGTACACTACCTATATATGCCTTTTTTATGGATTTCAGAGAGGAAGAGAGAAAGAAAGGTTGGGAGGGAGGAAGGAGGAAGGGAGGGAGAGAAAGAGAAAGAGAAAGAAACATCGATGTGAAACAAAATATCAATCAGTTGCCTTCCACACATGCCGTGGGTATGTGCCCTGAATGGGAATCAACCTGCCACCCTTTGGTGTACAGGACAATGCTCCAGCCAAAGGAGATGTACCAGCCAAAGCTATACTATATATGCCTGTTTACATATTCTTTTGCCTGATTTTTGCAGTGTCCCTGTGGGGTCTGTTTTATCATCACCATTTTAGAGATAAGGAAATATCACAACTGGACAAGAGCTCAAACCTTCTAGCTTCAGATTCTTTACCAATTCAAATTCCATGCTCCTTCCCCTATACCACACTAACTCTATTTTTGTAATAGACCTACATTTGTTATGTTGTCTTATTTCCATGAAAAAGTAGGTGCTGTCCTGGGCCTTGCAATCACTCATATTAATATTAAAAATTATAGATCTGTTAATTGTATGCCCTGGGCACACACCAGAGGATTTCCGAAAAGCTTTACTTTTGATTTCTAATTACTTTTAAAAAATGTATACTTTTATTGATTTCAGAGAGGAAAGAAAAGGGAGAGAGAGACAGAAACATCAATGATGAGAGAGAATCATTGATAGGCTGCCTCCCGCACACCCCACACTTGGATTGAGCCCACAACCCCACCATATGCCCTGGCAGGGAATCGAATTGTGACCTCCTGGTTCATAGTTTGATGTTCAACCACTGAGCTACACCAGCTTGGTGATTTCTAATTACTTTTGATCTGCAGATCATATTTTGAAAAATGAAGTATATCAAGCTTAGACTTTCTCTGTAAACCTACCTGTTTGTTCCCTAATTAAAAAAATTTCTATTAGAAAGAATTTGAGGACAAGACACAGGGCCGGAACAAAAGCATGGATGGAGTGTTTGTGTGAACGAATATAAATTCAAAGTAAACATCATTACATAAAAGGGTATGGTCTTTTTTTTGTTTTGTTTTATGCATTTCAAACGGGCCGGATCCGGCCCACAGGCCATAGTTTGCCCACAGCTGGTCTAGATTGTTGTTGAAAGCATTATTACTTTTGGAAGATTTTCAGCTAGGTGATTTCTAAGGTCTCTTACAACTTAAAAATTCTATAAGTTGTAATTCTTGGAGTCTTAAACATTGTCTATCTATCTATATAAAAGCCTAAGTGACTATCGCAACCAAACGGACAACCAAACAGGCTGCATGGGGTGACTAGACTGGCTGGGGGTTATTGAGGGGCAACCAAATGACCGAGCATCACGTTGCATGGAGCGACCAGGCCTGCAGCGGGGTTAGTGAGAGGGATCCCAGATTGGAGAGGGTGCAGCAGGGGTTATCCATTTTGCCCTCATATACAGAGATTTAATGTCTAAATAATCTGAGAGCATGCTGTGTGGGGCAACCAAGCTGGCAGGGGGGTTAATGAGGGGAGATCAAACGACTGAGCAGCAGGCTGTGTGGGGCGACCAGGCCCGCAGCGGGGTGGTGGGGGGGAGTTGGGAACAACCAGGCTGACAGGGTGGTCAGTGAGGGGCAACCAGATTGGTGGGAGGGGGCAGTTAAGGGTGACCAGGCAGGTGGGGAGGGCAGTTGGGGGCGACCAGGCAGGTAGGCAGGTAAGCAGGTAGGAGCCAGTGGTTCTGGATTGTGAGAGCGATGTCCAACTGCTGGTTTAGGCCCGATCCACAGGCTGGCAGGGGGGTTAGTGAGGGGCGACTAAACTACTGAGCAGCCGGCTGTGTGGGGTGACCAGGCCCACAGGGTGGTTAGTCAGGAGTGACAAAACGACCAAACAGCAGGCTTTGAGGGGGAGGCCTGGCCTTCAGGGGGAGGCCTGGCCTGCAGGGGGAGGGAGTTGTGGGCGGCCAGGCCAGTGGGGGGGCAGTGAGGGATGACCAGGCCAGTGGGGGGGCCAGTTGGGGGCAACTAGGCCTGCAGGGGGCAGTTGGGGATTACCAGGCCAGCAGGGGGGGGCATTTAGGGGTGATCAGGCAAGCAGGGAGGTGAGCAGTTAGGAGCCAGAGATCCCAGATTGGAGAGGGTGCAGGCTGGGCTGAGGGGGAAACCTCCCCATCCCCCCGCGTGCACGAATTTCATGCACCGGGCCTCTAGTTTATCTGTATGATACAGACAAGTTAATGTATGGCTATGGTACTTGATCTTAGGCAACAGACATTACTGATTTTCTTTGGCTTTGAATTCTTTTACTTTAGTAGATAAATAGCTCTCAGATTACTTAGACATTAAATCTCTGCCTGTGAGGGCAAAATGGATATAAAATAGTCATTTTTGAAAGCTCTTTAAGGGAGACAGAGCCAAGCTATCTGTTGGAAGATCTTCATTTTTCATTAACATGGCTTTGCCATTACCAGTAATACTGAAAGGAGCCCAAAGACATGGGAGTGGAGTCACCTGCTTTCTCTGGAGCAGCACCGTCCTTTTTAAGGTTTAGGGACACCAAGTTTTGGCCTGCTCGTGGAGACTCTGCAACACTGTTCTTCTGGGACAGTCCTTTCATGTCTTAGGGACACACCCCACCTCTCACTGAATTGTTCAGGAAACCAATGAATTGGATGGATATAGGATGATATTTAGTTATTTTTAACATTAAGCTTTTTAATGTAGGTACCTGGGCAGACTTCTACAAATACTTCAGATTCTTGAGAAATTTATCCAGCTACTCATTTCATTTCCTCATTCCAATGCATTTTCCCTCTAAACACACATGGAGGGAATATCTACTTAAAATGTGTTTTTATTAGACAATGAGAGACCCAATGCACAAAATTTGTGCAATAGGAGGCCTTCCTTCCCCCAGCTACTGGCACTGGCTTCCCTCTGGCTGCAGGCAGCCACCCAGGGCCCGGGCTTCTCTCACAGCCCTAGCTTTGTCTGGAAGGTTGTCCGGAAGGATGCCCAGTCTAATTATCATATTACACTTTTATTATTATAGATAATAACATATTGGGTATTTACTCCAGTGATTTTCAACCTTTTTCATCTAATGGCACACATAAACTAATTACTAAAATTCCGCAACACACCAAAAAATATATTTTTTGCCAATCTGACAAAGAAAGTATACTTTTGATTCATTTACACTGACAGCTATTGTGTTAGCTGTTGTCATTTCAAAAAATTTGACAATCTAAGGGAAAAGAGGTCAGTGCCCCTGGCTAAATAGCCAGATGTCACTTATTTTAAAAATTCTTACGGCACACCAGTTAAAAATTGCTGACTTATTCCAAACCAGCATTGTTCTAAGTTCTTTAGCTCTTTTGACACCTTTAGATCTCATGTCAGCCTTGGAGATAGATACCATTGTTATCATTCAGCTATTGTTTTCTTACAGATAAGGAAATGAAATCACAGAAAACGAAGTAATTCACCCAGTCTTACACACTAGGAGGGGTATAGCTAGACCTTTTACCCAGGCAGATGGGCTCCAACCAGTCCAGCTCTTAGTTGCTCCATCATGAAGGTGTTCTGTCTTCAGTACATCAGCACTGCTGCTGTTGAGCTAATGGAAGAGAGTCAACAGACTCCAGCTGACAATATTTAAATTACATGTGACCTGTTGATAAAAATTTGCATTACTGTGTACATAAAGTTAGAATATATAAAAGCAATTGTAGATCAAGCTATCATTTAAAATCCTTTGCTCTGAGCATAG